AGAGGTTCAAACAGGCAGGTTGGCTCAGGCTTGCTAAGTAACTGGCAAACACTCTGGCACTGGAGAGACGTCCTCTGCCTCCTTAAATACAGATCTCCTGATGAGCAGATGAGCGACAGGTGGTTGCAATCAGCTCTGGCTCCAGGAGATCTAGTACGCCCTCTGGTGGAGAAAGTGGACAGACCTCCAGATCCCAACATCCAGACTCATTTACGGAATAATTAGAAGAATTGCTGTTTTTTTAGAGGTACCCAGAGTGTCTTTGGAGCCAAGAAACCAGACCTTTATGATGGGAGATGAAGTGAGGATCAGGTGTTCAGCCAGTGGCTATCCTCCACCTCGTCTAGTCTGGACCCACAACGACATGTTTATTACTGCATCCAACAGGTATATTCTGTTTTTATTTTTATTTTCTATCCCAATATTATAAGTAAGGCATTGCTTTTATATAATTAGTGTTGTCTAAACTGTTAAGAAGTGGTTCTTTAGGTGTTTTGCATGTTCACTTATAATACATTATAATCATATGTCTTTCTCCCATTGTATTTTATCTACATTGTTGCCTATATACAGCGTCCTTACTCATGCACTTACCTCTGCAGGTGTCAGAATGTTTGACACTTATCCATGAATACATCTTCTGCTGCTTATCTGTCTGGGTAAAAGGCTGCTGGTGTTTATCTCCAGCAGTTTATCTCCAGCCAGACTGACTTACATGGGGCGTAAGTCAGGCTGGTAAGGCTCAATGCTCTTCTTCGGAAAACAGACAGGACCAATCATCACACATCACCAAAAATGCAACAGTCCCTTTCAGTAACCATAAAAATCAAGATTGCATCTGCAGTGGATGTTTTATTGATGCCCAGAGATTTTCTTTTTAAAAACTGATCACATCTGTAGATATCTGATCTGTTCTTAATTGTCTCTGCTGACTCTGTTAGTCCAGCCTTTGAAATTGGGATCTAGTGGCTCTTTTTTAGACTAATATGAGGTTTAAATGGTGTAAGTTAGTCTAGCTGACCAGCCTGCTGGTCACCAGTCCATTGCAAGGCTCCATTTATCCAGTGCTTGCTAAATGCCATCTTAAGTGATTCTTTTTAAAAAAGAATAACTAAAATAAGGTTGTTTTTTCCACTCATGTTGCCAACAGCACATCTGTGGTATGCTTTAACTATACCAATCTCTGTATTAGTAAGCGACTAAAACTAAACATGGGAGAATCCATCAAACTGTCTCTGTTGTAGATCTCTCTTTGATATTAGACTATTTGTATTAATCACATTGTCTGCATGCAAAAGGTTTAACACACTCTAAACCTTGTGGATTTAGGGGGTAAGTTTAGGTCAGTTTAGGTAATTTGGAGAATGTAAATGAATGTGGAACATAGTGAGAATCAAATGAAGAAAAACGAATCTTTCTTTTGTAAAACACACATCTACTCAATTAGTTATCATTTTGGTGTTTGAAATACATTGACCAAAGGGTTAGTAATATTTAATATTATCAGCTAAATGTATACACGGTTCAGAAGATATATTTAATATGAATTTAGCAAGTTAAGACAAGAAGCATTTTTAATAAGGCTGGGAAATTATTTGCATATAATAGCAGTTTAACAAAATACAATTGGTAAATAACAGAAGAACTCAGTTTATATAACATTACATCAGCAAGAGTAAGACATTATGTGCTGCAAGTCCATGCATGCCAGTAGAAATTTCCCCGCAATAGTAATAATAAAGTTTTGCAACAATAACCTCTTGAATTTTTAAGGTAATAATAAATAATGAAACCCTGCATTAAGACATCTACATTTTTTGTGTTTAGGGCAAAAAAAATTAAATAAATTTTTACAATGCTAATTTAGATTTTTTGTTAAGAACAAACAAAAAAATGTTCAGCCGTACTTTTTAATTAGCAGAAATGAACTCCTAAAATAAAAATAAAAAATGGTCGGGCATGACATCATGAGCTGTGTGCAGTTGTAGCATCTGTTAAAGTAGAGAACAATTGTAACTTTTTATGTTTTGTGAATAAAACTTAATAGATCAGTCTAGGTAACAACAGTTAACTGTTGTCAATGTGAAAAGTGAAAAAAAAGTATTTAAAAGTAAAGGGTTCTTATTAGTCCCGCAAATCTTCTCTGTCATATTTAAATGATAAAACATTTTTTATTTTGTATCTGATTATTAGATACAGGATGACTCCTGATGGAACCCTGGTAATAAGAAACACAAAGGAGAAGGATGGAGGAGTGTATGGCTGCTTGGCCAGTAATAGTGCTGGTACTGACACAATGACCTCCATCCTCACCTATTTTGGTGAGTGTTCAAATCATTCGGCTAAATACTTTTATGGTCCTGATTTTTTTGTGCCTGATTATTTTAAACTTCCTTGTTTCCTAGAATTTCCTGTGGTAAGAGCAACATTTAGAGAAGTTCTCAGTAACATTGGAGAAACCACAGTGTTGTCCTGTTCAGCATCTGGAATCCCTAAGCCTGAGATCTGGTGGTATAAAGGTAACCGTTAAAACGCTTAAGGAATGTATTTTGATGTTTGATGGTGACCAAAAATATTTAATTTTCAGAAGTAACTTCAATTATATTCAGAAAAACATATTCTTACTAATTACTCTTATATATTCTTATATTTTAAACTCCATTTTTGAAAGCTGAACCAGTGTACTTGTATTTGCTCTAGGTAATGTGCAGCTACATTCCTCCTCTCTATTTGAGGTGGATAAGTTAGGAGGAACACTGACCATAAAGCAAACGCAGTTAGGGGATGCGGGAGACTACTCTTGTGTGGCTGTCAGTGCGGCTGGCTCATCCTCACTGAAGATAAATCTTGATGTTGGAGGTAAGTCACAATTGTGTAAACAAAATGACAAATAAATCTGCCTAAGTCTAAGTATTGGTGAATATTAGAAAGTCATCTGGTTTGATATCCACTCCTTATTCTGTGCATTTAGAAAGAGCTTCTTTAGATATTTTTATTTCCATTTTCTGCACCAAAAGCTGTTATTTGTTTGTGTTACCCCTTTAAGTATTCACTTTAACATTTGATAGCAAGATTGCATGACGTATGGACAAGGAATGCACATTTTTTCTTGGTTTACAGAGTCCACTAAATGTTTTTTTTTAAATGTGCACATTTAACTAGAAAGGCAGATTCTGGTGCTGTAAATAGATATTCTAGTGTCTGAGTGAATAACTCGCTGCAAAAAATATTTGTTTTTGGAGCAGCAGTTTTTTTAAAGGTGACATTCTCACAGGCTTTATACCACCGGTTCCCAGAATAAAAGCCAGGCTCCCACATGGTGATTTACATACATTTTTGTCTGGAAATTAAATTAAGCTTAAAGGTATAGTACAGGATGTTTTGTTCTGGGTGTATCATCGAAATAATTGGTCCTCCTAATTGTCATTTTAGTGATATGTTTACATAAGGGCGTCCTACCTGCTTGTCCCCCTTTCCACTTAATGGTAATGAGTCTGAGATAATGAAAAAATTGCAAATCTAATTTTGAAAGTAAGCTTTAATGAGCGATGCAAACAGCAATTTTAAACTTGTGCACACTCTCCCACACATTTAATATGTTCCCTTTCGGGAGCGGGTACAGGTTTGTGCATGTATATTTTTTGTGTGCAAAGGAAGTGAAGAGGGCGGGTCTTTTCAAAAATTTGCGAATATCCTCCACTATACCTTTAACATTTTTCAAATGAAAAATACTATAATACAAAGGAAGTCAGAACCTGATTACAAAAGAATAAAGAGCAAATAATTTTTTTAGACAAAAGAGAAATTGAATAACAACATAAGTCTTAAAATTATTAGAGACCATGTTAAACAAATATAATAAAAATAAAACATAAAGTATGAACATAAACAGAACCAGCAGAAAACCCAAAACAGAAGACAAACAATTCCAACAATGACAGTAGCCTACTATTAGTGAGATCCTTATGAATATAATTTTAACCTTGCGATTTAAAACAGTGTTTCTTGAGAAAATCTTTTGACTTGATTGATCGTTTCTTTCCATAATCTTGTGACTGTGAATTTATTGGTATGCTATGTGTTAATATTATAATTTTGGGTGGAATAGGTTTGTGTTTTTCCTGCCTGATGGTCATCTTCCATGGCTGAGATCAGCTGCTGGCTATTAAACACTTTCAAATAAATAAACTGTTTACATGCAATTTTTTTTCCCTCATTATGATCATTGCTTATTTTAATCCTGACCATCCCAGCTACACCAAAGTTCACTCTTGAGCCATCAAACATGGCAGTGGACATTGGCTCCAACGTGACTTTGTCCTGTGAAGCACATGGGTATCCTGAGCCCCAGGTGACATGGAGGAGAGAGGATGGTTCCTCTTTGTTCAACCGGCCGCAAGCACATAGCACTGTGTCACAAAAAAATGGGGACCTACAGATAAATAGTGAGTCTTTTAAAACAGTGATGAATATGTAAAACTAAAACAGATTTTTCAGTTTGTTTTTTCTTGTTTTTCTGCCAGATCTATGGATCGAAGATGAGGCGGAGTATATCTGTGAGGCCAAAAATCGCTTTGGTAGGATCCAGACCAAGGCTAACATCACTGTGACTGGACTTGGTAAGATGTCTGGATCATCATGCTGTGATTGTAGGTGTGTCTTAACAGAGTGTATTTTAACTCTAAGATGCCATGTATTATATGCAGTGTTTGGCCTCAGAAAAAGGGATATGTATGAATACGTGATGACTAGCAGCACTTAAAGTTTGATGCATTTAAATACTTTTCTCTTTCTGGTTGGATATTGTTTTTGTCATAAACTTTTCACATCCTTCTAAATGCTCTGGATGCCTTTATTTTGGTTTCAGGATATTAATTTCTATTAGCACATTTTAACATGCCTTTGTCTCTTTAAAGCCTCTGTGTAAAAGTTATGCTGCGTTCACACCAAACGCAGCAGGAGCAGCAAAAACCTGTCTGCTGCTTCATTTTTGATGCTTGTACAAGTTTAGTTCTGACGCGCGGCTGAAGCAGCTTTGCTGATCTGGCTGCATAGTCGGAAAGAGGTTTCAGCCTTTTAAGTTAATTTAGGCGTTAATAAACTGTTTCAGAGGAGTGATCATAGTGACCTGTATCATTAGCGATGTGTCTGTCTTGCTGACAGCTCCCAGATCAGCTTGTCTGATTGGTTGATGTGGCGCGTCGAGCAATTAAATTTTTCCATCTCGAGCAGCTGCTGCGTTTGCGGCACGTTGCATGTGTCAGATACTCAAACGCTCCAGATGCTATGCTTCAGCTGCTCAGATGCACTGCGCCTGCTGCTCAAAATGCGCTGCGGGACATTTTGCTGCGCCTTGACGTGCGTCAACCCTTGACTTTGCATGTAAACTAGCTGTTTCTGCTGCTCCTGCTGCGTTTGGTGTGAACACAGCTTACTCTCGTCTAGTGCTGTGTTAAATTAATAAAAAATCAATGAGACCCACACTAGCATGTATTTACCTGCTACTGTCATAAACGGGACAGATGGACCTAGTATTCAAGGCGAGTCAGACAGTGGGGAGTTTAAAATTGTTCAATGAACCAGGTCAGAGAAACAGCCAGGAACCAGACAGTCCCGAGATCCAGGAGTCCGTAGCCCGACCAGGGGTTCCGATTCAAGCAGGAACAGACAGATCCAGGGTTCCAGGAATCCTCAGAGCGTTCAGGCAGGTTCAGAGTTCCAAAGAGTCCACCAGCGAGCTCAGACAGACAAGCTCAGATGGCGACAAGCAGGCTCAGTGTTTGAGGGACACAGACAAGACATGGTACCGGAATTACTGCAGAACTTTAAAGTGGTCTCCACCTTAGAGCCAGGCTTATGGGCATTAAAACTGACCTCCCCCGCGTTCCGGCCCAAAAACCCTGAGGGCTCCACGGAGAAGGACCAGAACCTGTGCTCCCCTCGCACGCTGAGCCAAAACCATGAGGGCTCAGTGGAGAAGACCATTAGGAAATGCTAGGCAGTTGTCTAGGGCCCCCAGTTCCTTTGAATTGCAAACTCTGTTTACATGTATAGTTAATACAACTATTCATTATTTGTGCACATTAATAATTTTTTTAATAAAGATCCTTTCACTAAAATGCCATCAAACGGTGCAAAGAGCAGTGTTGCCAACTTAGAGCTTTTGTTGCTATATTTAGCCACTTTTCAGACCCCTCTTGCTCTTTTATTTCCAAAAAAGCACCTAGTGCCAAATCTAGAGACTTTTTTCTGCTCCTGGAGAGTTTGGCAGCAACATATAAAAGCAGCGAACTCTGCTCTCCAGAGCGAGTAGATTTGTAACCCGGCCTCCTGCTCTCCTCTATCTTGTCTGTTGTCATGATTCATGCAGCTATTATTTCATCCAAATGAAAAATGGAGAACAGAGAAGCAGATCATGCTTTGTCTGCAGTGAAAAAAAGGACTGGTTTATTTAATTTTGCCGTCGCATTTTTTTAAAAACAGGAAGAAGCAATCAACTAAGTGAGCTTAGTGCTTGGAAAAAAGCTTTCATTCCTTTTGAGACAGCATGAAAAGTCAGCAGAATACAAAACAGAGAGAGAAAAACAACAAGAAAAGGGACAAGAAGAGAGGGACAAAACCTAGAACAAATAATGTATGTCTATCAAAATTTTGTATCAGTGTAATGGGTCTGTTTTATGTGTCGTGTTCTCAACTGAAAGGGCCCCCTGCCTGTTTTTGCCTATGGCCCCAAATTTCCTAAATTCGCCCCTTGTGCCGATGCAGACTCTCATTTTCTTTCAGTTATTTCTTCTGTTTATTTTTTATAAATCTTTTTTATCAAGCAATTAGAACGATCTGCAGTTGTCTTATAATACTCCTCCACTGACAAATCCTATTCATATACAGGTAAAAATCCTAAGACTAACAAGTTTGTCCTCTTTCAGCATCTGTAATCAAAGAAGACGAGGCAACGTAATTAATAATAATAATTGAACTTCATCAATGGCGTAACGACACAACAATAGGCCCATAAGTAACATTATCTGGGTGGGCCCCATATGAAGTACAACTGAGCCACAGGAAAGCTTTCATTTGTGATGTCATTAAACATTGTTGTGCATTAATGAAAGCAACATATGCAAAACAATATATTCATCATATGCTAATAAAAAGCTAAACTAGTAACACACTACCCCTTTAAGAGTATTTTTAATGTGTGCTTTCTCTTTTTTTTTTTTTAGGTTCTTGCTCAGGTCTTGTTTAAAAGGTTTCTTTCTTGCCTAATAGCATCATTTCATTACAGCTTTTAACAGTAGCCAGACCGTGTGTCTGTTTATTTAAGTAAGTTTATATATATTTATGTATGTTAGATCTCAAACATGTCGATCCAAAAATGTATGCCTGCCCTGAAACTATTAAATTGATTTTCTTCTGAAAAAATTAGCCATAAGTTGTTATATATTCTCTCTTTGCTGGGGTACCTGCATTGTATCTTTCAGTCTGTTTATGTGTTTTGACCCTTTTCCCCAGGCAAGTAAGATTTAACGTGTTTCCATGCATGTTTAGGGACACATGTGCCTTGTTAACCACTATTAGTTCCTCTGCAGTGGAAATACATTGAGTTCTTAAATGTGGGCCAAAGGTTAGAAAGTGCAATCACACCCAGATGACATAAACAAGCCCTGCTAAATCCCCTTTTCCCTGCTGGTTAAACTAACTCATGGGATATGAACATTAATTTAGCAGAGCAAGAGCAGATGTTTTATTTGCATGCATTGTCTCCAATAAATACATATCCCACTCCTGTGGATCTTTTTTTTATGGCACAGTGTTGAAGCTAGTCAAAAAATGCATTATAGGATTGGGGTGTATACCAAGTGCCAAAAATGTTATATTTTTAAAAATCAGACTTAAGTTAATGACGTGTTAAATTATACAGGGATAAAATTTAGCCAGAGACCAATTATGCCATTTCTATCTTCCCCTTGATATAGGACCAAAACTGTTTTTATATTTCAGTTCAATCCATCTTCTAATACAGATATATTCAAATTCCAATCTAATTCAAACAAAATCCAATAAAAATATATTATATTTTAAATTAAATGTGGGTTAGCAATAAGACAACTATTGAAACCAGAGGATTGTGGCTTAAAATGGATACAGATCCAGCATTTTATTCAAATGTTTTTAGACATTCTGTGTTTTTAACTAAAGCAGGTCTTAGTTTAACTTTTCATGGAAAAAACAAAAGTGAAACATGGTTTTAAATGTTATGCTTTTCATTTAACAGTTAAATGCTTTCTGTCTAAGTTAGGAAAAGGTTCTGTCTGGATTAATGCAGGTTTTTTTTGTAGAAGAGAATAAAAATAGACGGGTTATCTCTGCTGTCATACATGTGAAACCGAGCAAATCTTTCTCTGTCTGTGTTCTTGAAAGATGATAAAGTCTTTTGAAAAACATAGGTAGAATACTGCATCCACATTATTAGGGCCAATACAATTGAGTTTATATATATGACGCCAATCCACAACACACGTCATCTTAAGCTAACCTGCTCCGCATATCCATCTGGAAACCTTCCTTTGAAGTAATTTTGGGAAGGGGTGAAAATACTGGTTAGCTGATTGGCCTATGTTGGTGATAGACGGGCCAAATAAACCAATCAGATCAACGAAGCATATGACGTAACAGAGCGACGACGAAGAGGAGCCAATTGATAGATCGAACTCTTGCCGAAACCAGTCGGGAGAAGAGCAAAAACATCTTTTCCTCTGAGAAAAGCCTCCAGAGCAGTGTTTTGCTCTTCTTTCAGTGAAGAAATACTCTGTAATTCCGATAAAACTTGCTCGATAGCCACGCTAACGCTAGTTTCATCGGCTGAAGCCGCCATGTTCTTTAGACTGACTGCAACTTCTCGTTGCGTCACACCTCAGCCCGCCTCAAAGCCAACGCTGATTGGACGTTCGTTTGGTGAACGGCTCCAAATTTTCTTCAACGGAGAGTCTGCAGACTGATTAGCGAGTGAAACCTTGAAAGCTCGCGAGATCAGGATGGTCTCACGAGGCTAATCTTAAGGCACTTTATAGTCCAACCAGATCATCTAGTCAAATTGATTAAAAGCTTTCTATCTAAGGAAAACCAGTTGATTGCACCGCCTCGTTGACTCGAAGGCAATCCCTCACACTGAGCATGCTTGTAGCGACAGTGGAGAGGAAAAACTCCCTTTTAACAGGAAGAAACCTCCAGCAGAACCAGGCTCAGTGTGAGCGGCTATCTGCAGTAAAATAGCTCTCTCGGAAATCTGTGGCCCATCCTTGTGTTGGTGAGGGAAATACCTGTGCTTTATTTTAACCTGACAGTAGAATATAGCAGTCTTTTTCTTCAAACATTTTTGCTTTTAAACTTTGTATTCGATTTTCCACATTGAATAGAACTGCGATTTGATTTTGATTAAAGAAATTCTTCTAATTTTTTAATGTTTTTTTTCTTTCTCTTTGAAGTTAAACCTGTTATTGCAATGAGTCCACCTGTCATCAGTGTGATTGAGGACCAGCAGCTAACCCTTCCCTGTGTGCTGCTGGCTGGAAATCCGCTGCCAGAGAGGCAATGGCTCCATAACTATGGCCTGGTGGGGACAAAAACAGGAATTGTACAGTTTCTCCGTCTTGCATGAAAACTACTTATGGATTTTTTTTAAATGTTCTCCTCCTGCATTCTTCTAGGTGACCCCAGACCAGTATGTCACTGTGAGGAAGGATGGTAGTCTGCATATTGAAAGAGTTCAGATGGAGGATGGGGGTGATTACACCTGCTTGGCTGAGAACGTTATTGGGGCCACCAACCATACAACCACCGTTTACGTTTACGGTAGAGTCACCAACACACAAACACATATATGACGCAATAAACATTAGAAACAAAGATTATTAGGGATGTTTCTCAAACTGTCTTTTTCCTTATTAACCTTGAGGATCAGGACCTATTGTCCTGCATGTCTCCAGATGTGTTTCTCCTCCAGCACACCTAAATTAGAATATTACTTTCCCACCATTAAGGACTAAAGAGGTCTGTTAATCCTACATTTATTTAAGTCAGGTGTGTGGAGGCAGCAAAACACCTAAAACACACAAGACAGACTGACATAAGGGCTTTGATTGAAGAAAGATAACATAGGCAATTAATGCTAACAAGGGTCTTATTTTTTATTTTGATTATTTAGTCAAAATAATGCCTTTTTTCTTGTCATTTTTTCTGAAGAAAATTTTTTATTTTCTTATATTTTGCAACCTGCCAAGTGCCAACACGAAAACACATCTTAACAGCAAAAGGTTGCAATGGCCTTGTTTGACCATTGGGGGGCTAATGTGTTCAGGTTTATATGTGGGATTTAGGCCAGAAAGTTTAACTTGGATCTCATATGACCTGGAGATTCATACCGCTATATGTGTGTAGCTATTAGGTATATGAAAAGATGGCAGTGTAGAGAAGTTTTTAATATTTAGGTTCAAAAAACTTTTTTCAGATTTATAAAACCGTAAGACACGTGTCACTGCACAATATACCTTCATACGTCCCAATTTGTATGGAATTCAGTGCAGTTGATGGTGATTTTTTTGTCTTTCCCCCCACAAACCATAAATATGTATGCAAACCAATATAAATTCACCAGATTCTGGAGGACTATGGGGGGAATTTTGTTTCATTTTTGCTGTATGCGAAAAACACAATTTGCAAATGAAAAAACAAAAAATGCAATCCATAAATGAAATTAAAGTTAAGTTATAATGCAAAAAGATTTTGTGAATAACTTTTTTTTCCTCAGATTCTTTATTTTTTATTTGTTTTATTATTTGCATTCTTTTCATGTAGCATTTTAGAGACCACATTCTCTTCGCTCCAATCCTAATAAAAATGCTTCCTCTTGACATTCACATTAAACAATACAATGTTTTTGCTATCTTGCGAAGAGAAGTGAAGAGAATTTAATCTGCAAAAGGCTATTTAGAAAGAAACCAATTAATAAAACTCATATTTAGAAAATATGAAATAAGAAAAATGAACCTGAAAACAAGTGTAAAAATGGCAAATCAACTAAAAATAAAATAAGTAAAATTTGTAAAATAAATTTGAATTAAAAAATATATATTTTTTTTTTAAAGCCAGAGAAAACAGCATGGTTTGTCTCAAAATATTTTTTTTATTTAAAACTTTTTTCTCGTAAGTTTTATCACTCGTTTGGTTTTCTTGTTTTCAAATTTCAATTTACAAAATATGTTGTGTTTTTTTCCTTTTACAAAATCAGTCTTTTTTTTATCTTCACTGTTTGTATCAAGTCCAATTGGTGCTGTCTATTTACTGCATTTAGCTAAGTAATTGCTTAATGCTGATGATTTTAACATATAGTAAATCATTAAAGTGATGTGAACATACCTTCCCCCATTTTGTTTTAGGAACACTGTCATCACAAACATCCGTATGATGTACAGTTAATGTTTTGGATGATTGTGGATCTCACACCAAAAAGAAAACCTGCAAGGCAGCCATCATGTACTGCACCTGCTTGAAGTTTACCAATCTTAATCCTTCTAGTTATTTTTATAGTATAAAGGAATCCTGGGTTAAACACTGCCACTACATTTTATGTATCACAAAAAGGAGAACATGGCCTGAAAATACTTTCCATTCATAAAAGCAACTTTAACATTTTACAGATTGTGCGCTTATAGCAGCATGAATGCATACATTTGGAGATTGACTCCTTGCTCCATATTACTATATGATGTGGATCTTTTAAAGACACTTAAAAAAATGCTGGTCTTGAATATTTTATTTATCTATTCTATTATCCACAGTTATCCCTACAATTCAACATGGACCTCAGGTATTTAGCACTATCGAAGGAACACCTACAACTTTGCCATGCCATGCCAGCGGAGAACCAAGTCCTGACATTACTTGGACCAAGGTATGTCTCTGTTATTAAAAAAGGTAAAAGTAAATGTGAAAGAGAACAGTTAAATAAAACATTCTTGAAGTTTGATTCTTTGTATTGGAGGCAAAAAACATGATTACTTTAGTTAATCTGTTATAAGTTTTATGAGAATTGCTGGTAAACCTTTAGTGTAAATGATTAGTTTCTGGTGAAAGACACCATACTGTTGACCCCAGCGGTGGGTAGAGTATCCAAAACTTTTTGCTTCAGTACAAGTAGAAAGTATTCTTCCAAGAAATATCACAAGTAAGCATAAAAAAGCTTATTAAATAGCTACTTAAGTATTGAGTAATTGTTGACTCACATCGTCTCATGTAATCTTGAAAACAGAATGCACAATAAAATAAAAACAAATAACAATAATTAGCAGGATTACAAAATAACACATTTGGAGAGGAAAAAATATTATATCTCAAAATTTCTATTTAGTTAAAAACCAATCTTTATAGAAGGTAAATAAATGATAAATATGGAAGAAAAACAGTCTCATTGGAATCTGCCTTTTTTTTAACAATGAATTTTAAACACTGAATTTTTTTTAGACATTGAATTCCTTACACTCAACTTTTTGCAGGTGAATTTTTTGCAGCTTAATTTTTTGCAGCTGAATTTTTGCAGCTCATTTTTTTTGCAGCTTAATTTTTGCAGCTGATTTCTTTGCAGCTTAATTTTTGCAGCTGAAATTTTTGCAGCTGAATTTTTTTGCAGCTGAATTTTTTGCAGCTGAATTTTTTTGCAGCTGAATTTCTTTCTGGTGAATTTTTACCAGATGAAAATTGAGTGTAAGGAATTCAATGTCTAAAAAAAATTCAGTGTTTAAAATTCGTTGTTAAAAAATTCAGTGTCTAAATGAGACTGTTTTTCTTCCACAGATAAAGAACATCCACCTAAAATATCTACTGTTCACTGCTTTTTCACCTGATCTCAAATAGCTGAAGTTACTCCATTTTTTTTGGTAGAGTAACCAGAAATATACTCAAGTACGTGTAGAGGTAGAGATACTCCAATAAGAATATTACTTTAGTAAAAGTACAGAACAAGTACAACTAATCCTAAAAGTCTTTTTGTTTTATTTTTTACAAAAAGTGACTAAAGTAAATCTATTTACTACCCATCTCTGGTTGAAACTCAAATCTTAAGAGTTTGTCTCTCTGCACTGATAAGCACATTGTTTGTTTGTGAGGATTCCAGCCATAGCCCATAACTTTTTTTTTTTTTATTGCTTCGTATCTACCTTAGTTTTAAAAGAATTGCTGTTGAAGTGAAGGTGGCATCAGATACACATATGAATAAAACAAAACCCTATAAATTAAGAGTTGTGCTACAGATTGATCGGATGTGCTCTCTCTTCTCTCTCTGATTCCTTTGCTGCCGCGCTCTGAAACATCAGTGAAGGCAGTTAAGTCATCTGTGAGCCAGACGGATCGCGCACATAAAGCAATCCTGATGGACGCGCAAGCTTTGCTTTTATTAGCTTTCAGGTTTATTATCTGTCTGAGCAAAACTGTTTGAATAACATCATTTTATATCTAATAGCTGCTGATAAATTAATAAAAAACTGTCGTTCTCTTTGTAACCGATGTTTTGACAAGATGATTTATCGACCAAACATTCTCTTTATTGTGTGATTTATTCCTTTAGGGTGGGGAGCTGCTAAACTTGGGTGGTCCAGCCTTCTCTTTAGATTTAGATGGCGGCCTCCGTATCACTTCACCTTCTGGAAATGAGACTGGAGAGTTTGTCTGCACAGCTACGAACGCAGCAGGATACGCATCCAGGAAGGTGCAGCTCACAGTCTATGGTAACCATTTGATTTTTTAAAGACACATAAAATAACTTCATGTACTGTGATCTACAGGGGTATGTACACCAAATATAATATAGATTTAAGTAACTAAGATTTATTACATATATCCTGTGGTATAGAGGTGCAGCTCTTCTGCTACACTATAACAAATCAGAATAAACAAATTATCAGAATAAAAAGTTTTCATGTAAATATCCCAGTTGGAATATTCTAATCAGGTTTGGCTGATTCGGTAGATTCAGTGGAAGTTAATGCATGCTTGTAAATACTTATCAGGATCAAATTCTTCTGACTGAGGCAGACTAAAGTGGTTGGTAAAATGAAATGTCCTTTTTAATTCCACTTACATATCTTGATTTATGAGTACAGTATGAGGACAGTCTTCTCCTTCTTTCCCATCGACTGACTTGCCACAGGTTTGCCTCCTGTGTCTAAAAGTAGCTAGCAGGGCTTTACCATACAAACAGGAGGAGCGAGGCAAGTGAAATAAGACACTGTTGTTGGACAACATGGGGTAATTTATAAATGTTTTAAATCAGGTTGGGTCTGGATTAGACAGCAGGTGGATCTGGATCCAGACCGCGGTCCAGCTAATCCGTGACCTCTGGCATAGAGCGTTGGAATCCTGAGGTTCTGAATTCAAGCCCCACTCCCACAGACTGCCACTCTGGGTCCCTTATGAGCTAAAGACTCTTAGCCCCACACTGCTCCCTGGGCGCTGCACAATGGCAGCCCACTGCTCCCCAAGGGGATGGGTTAAAGGAAT